TTTAGAGGGTTTTTTCCCCGCATATTCCCATTCAAGTAGGAAAACCTATCAACTTCTCTATAAATTAATATTTACATCATTTACTATGCTTTTGGTTACAATTAAAAATAGGTAAAGAAAAAAGTTCTAAAAAGCTGAAACAAGATAGGTAATTTTTTTCTGCCTTTCTAGCCCCTGATTCTTCTTGCCCCTCTCCTTTTTTCCCATTTTATGTCTTTTTTTAAAATCTTAATGCTTTTAGGTAAAATATTAAACCAGAGTGTCCCTCTCATCCTCTACGGCATTATTTTAATGGAATAAATACATTTTAGAATAAATTTTTACAGTGTTCATTATCTCATCTTTTCTGTTAATATCTGTACCTGTTTTTGTCAGTGTTTAAGATTTGTTGTGTTTTGTTTTGTTTGTAGACTTAATCAGCTTCTGTTACTATTATAGCATTATGCTATAATAGTATATTATAGCATATACAATCAGTATTACAAACAATACTGATTGTATATAAACAATCTGATTGTTTACTAAATAAAATGCCACTTTTAGCTTGAAAAAAAAAAAAGGTAATTTATGAAATCCTATGACTTGAAAGTCTAGAGGAGGGGTAGCTTCAAGTGGTGAGAGGCCATTGCCAGGGTAATAGTGGCAGGAATTGCAAATAAACAGGAGAAGCAAGTTCCTGCCTGTTCTTCCTGCGTTCCAGTCTCCCTCTAGTGCCTCCTATCGGCAGAGTCTAACAGACCTAGCTGACAAAGCACAAAAGTGGTTTTCAGAATCTCAGCCCAGCATCACAGAACTGAGTCTAGAAGAGGGGGTTTGGAGTTGAGAGACAATAGCTTAATAACGACCACATTTTCATAGAAAATGTTATTTCAAAATTATTGTTATATGAAAAGATAATGAGAGACAATGCAACCAAAAAATGTAAGAAATGAATATCAAAGAGGTAGGTCAGGCAATTAATTAATAAAAGCATTTATGTTCTTTTTCTGGATTATGTGATGTGTTTGCTGTTACTTTTCTGTATTTTAAATCATAGTTTCCTTTCTTCTGCTAAATAAATGTTCACCTACATACCTTAAAAAATAAAAAACAAAAGATTTTCAACATTCCCAATGTAGCACAGAGCAATCACAAAGTCTCAAGAATGAAGAGGTTAAGAAAACTGCACTTCTGAATCTCTGCTCACTACCCCCAAGGAGAACCCAGTTCAGCGGGCATTTTTCTCCTGGATGTTTCATTCCCCAAAATTTAGTCAAAAGTGGAGCAAGGGAAAGAGAGAGAGTGATCCTAGTGTCCCTACTTTCCCCAATCCCTCCATAACTCCTGCCTTCCCCTGTCTCCCAGTCTACACTGGGGTCACAGAACCCCTGAGAACAAATCCTATCACCCCAGGTACACTGTGCCTTGCACAGAGGAGGTACAGAGTATAGTGTTTTTGCTTAATTACAGAGCCACCTTTGTGCTGTGTATGATCTCTTTTCCAGAATCACTACTCTTCCTTTTTGTACAGTACATCTTATGGAGAATAACAATCTTTTTTATTTTTTTGTAGGTTAAGGGGTTGCATTAGTCCGTTCTCATGCTGCAAATAAAGACATTCCCAAGACTGGGTAATGTATAAAGAAAAGAGGTTTAATTGACTCACAGTTCCACAGGGCTGGGGAGGCCTCAGGAAACTTACAATCATGGCAGAAGGGGAAGCAAACATGCTCTTCTTCACAGCAGCATCAAGGAGAAGTGCTGAGCAAAAGGGGGAAAAGCCCCTTGTAAAACCATCGGATCTGATAAGAACTCTCCCACTATCATGAGAACAGCATAAGTGGAACTGCCCCCATGACTAAACCACCTCCCACCAGGTCCCTCCTGCTACATGTGGGGATTATGGGAGCTATAATTCAAAATGAGATTTGGGTAGGGACACAGCCAAACCATATCAGGGGTATATTTTCTTGTCTCTTAAATATGACAGCCTATGTGTATTTCTCTGTGATTCTGCTTAAAGTTATTTTATATAATGAGTTTTAATAGATTAATAAATAACTGTAAGCTTCTGGAAGGAGGAAATGTCCTTTTATATCTTTATATTCCCTTCATGCTTTCTATCAGAATTCCATTCAGTTACAAGTAACAGAGATCTGAAAAATAGTGGCTTAAACATACAAGGTTTTATGGTGACATGTAAAGTAGGCACTAATTTAGCCTGTCCATGTTATGGTGATAGTGACTCCATAAATCATCCCTTACCAAGTTTTCTCTAGCTCTTTGCTTCACCATCTCTAACAAATGCCCTGTCTTCCAAGATGGCTGCTGGAGCTCCGGGCTTCACTTCTATATTCTAGCCAGCAGAGCAGAGGAAAGGAGAAAAGCATATCCTTCCATTTTAAAAAGGAGACATTTGAAATTCTCACATTACCCTATTTGCCCAGACCTTAATGACATGGCTATACTCAGCTGTAAGGAAGGCTGGAGAATGTAGTCTTTCAGCCAGCTGGTAATGTGCATGGCTAAAGATTGAAGTCTATTACCAAGGAAGAGATCAATTATTATTTGATGATAGTGCTGATAAGGTATCAGATTATTGGCCAAACAACTTCTTGTGGAGGAGCTTTAAAGAGATTAAAGTTTAAGAGAGTCAATGTCCAGAAAGGCTAAGGTAATAGAAGAGGATTCAAAACAATTTACTCAGGGAAGAGTATTTGCAGGATTCAGAGGCCACTCTATGGCCCTTTTTTTACATTTAAAATAATATTTATTAAATTTTCTTATGATTCTGGAAGTGGACCTCTTAATTTTGGAAAATTTGGAAAAATAAAATAAATGTCTCCTACTTCCTGAACCTAGAGATAACCCTAAATAACATTTTGGTGTGCTTTACCTCAATCTCTTTTTCATGCATAAAGAATTTATTAATTTTTAACAATTGAAATGAGATCATTCTTGCTGTCTGTAGTGGTGTTTTAAACTGTGCTGTAAATAAATAAATTAAATAAATAAATAAATAAACAATACAAAGTCTTCCTCTCACCTTTCTCCCTTGCTTGGTGTGCCACCCCATAATCGTTGCTGCTGATAGTTACTATGTTTCACACCAGAGTTTATTTTTGCATATTTCAGCAAACATAAACTTCCATATTCCCCCTGCCACTTTTTACACAGATTCTAGCCCATCATACACAGTGTTCGTCACCTTGCTTTTTTCATTCACACACTATTCTGTGCCTTGTTTCTGCCTCACAAGCACAGAGCTTTCCTCTTCTCTTTCATGGCATTTCTCCCTGTGGATGCACCCCATTTATTAAACAGCTCCCTACTGATGGCGCTTGGGTGACTTCTAATCTTGGTACTACAAACAATAAACAGCCTTTTTGGATCTCATTTGCATACATGAGCATATGCAAAGAATAAACGACTAGGAGTGTGATTGCTATGTCAAATGCATCTGTGATATTAATAGGTATTATCGACTTGCTCTCTGCATTGATTGTAACAATTAACCCTCCCACCAGCAATGTGTTAGAGGGCCTGTGACCCCATGACCTCATCAAAAGAGTGTATTTTCAAACTTTTGGAGTTTTGATAGTCTGATTTTTTTTTTAAAAATCCATCTTGGCATAGCTTTAGTTGCAATTTCTTTATGAGCAAGGTGGATCCATAGTTTTCAAAATATTCCTGTCTGACCAGTGTTTCTGTTCATTGCCTTGCCCTTCACGATCATTTAACTATGAGATCTCTGGACAAACTATGCTCTGTTTGACTAATAAACATGAAAGAGTTGGTATCCCCAAGTGAGAAGATGCTAGTTTTCCCTGCATCTTATCCCTGGGAAAGATGCCGGCTATATTCCTGCTGAATGGTTATGATTTTGATGGTTTATACCTTGCTTTATTTCTAAGCTATTTTAAATAAGAAAATTGGAAAGGGAAAATTTGAGTAAAAAAAATGACTGGAAGAAAAGCAATATGAAGCCAGGAATGAGGTCAGTACACTAAGTATTCTAGACAGTTGCTACAGACAAGTCACATATTTGTCCAATCAAAGAGAGAAAGAGTTTAATACAGGATATGCCTCAACTGTGCCCTGTTAGAAACTGGCTTTACTGAAGCTATAATAGATCAGAGAGTGCATTGAGAGAAGATATTCCTTCCTCCTTTGCCCTTCATGCCCCAGACTTCGTGCCGTATCTGACTGGAGGATTGGGAGGAAGGTGGTGCACCAAGTGGGAAAAGAAAACAGGAAGAACTTGGTAACAAGAACTAAGGAAAGAAGTGGAGAAAAACAGCTCAGAAAGTGCCGGGTCAATAAGGCAGCTGGCTCCCAATATAACCTAAACATGGATGGGTTATTCAGGTCACAGAAAAGGAAGGCATTTAGCAGCACTTATCAAACTGTAGAAGTTGTTGCAAACTAACATCTCCCTAATTCTATTGAAATTCTTATGATACCATGTAGTCTGCTTTCTGACCTTTGTCAGATTCCTTTATGTCATCTTAGCTTCTTTTCCTGGCCAGGTCATACTTGGGAGTTGAGCTCTGTGGAAGGAAGAGGGATTGCTTTAAGCTTGGTTATTGACAGCACATTGTAAGTAACATTGGAGTTCCTAGCAGAAGAGAGCATAATTCTAAGAATATTCAGGAAAAACTGGAGACCATCTTCATGTCTGTATCAAACAGTACTTTGTTTCTCAGTATACTTCACGCATAAAATTGTCACTTTAAATAGAAAAATTAGTCATAGTATGATTGTAGCTCTGGTAAGATATATTTGCTTGTAGAAGGGAACATGAGAAGCAGAAAAGCATGCTAAAGCATTGGGTGAAAGTTTATTTTAAAACCCAATGTTGTCATATTGTCTTTTCTCTGATACACACACACACACACACACATCATAGCTATTGCTCAGTATCAAAATAAACTTGCTTTGCTTTCTTCATTACAGATAAAGCTGTACTCTCTCCAGACAAACCAAACAATCCCTTTACTCACAGTATTTTGTCTTTCCAGGCATCTTATAAGCCATTGTTGAAGCAAGTTGTGGAGGAAATATTTCATCCCGAGAGGCCAGATTCCATTGATATTGAACACATGTCTTCAGGTCTCACTGATCTCCTTAAAACTGGATTTAGCATGTTCATGAAGGTAAAGTAACCATGAAGATGTAATCCTGATATAGAAATGTTCTCTTTGCTGGGCATGAAAATGCTGGCACCCTGTTAACCCTAGCCAGCACCACACAGATAACATTTGGTATTTTGGCTCTTCTAAAATCAAGGGCAATCTTTATCTTTTGATTACAAGCAGCCTGACCTGCTAGCCTCATACTGCTTCTTCTGACCTGAGCACTCTGGTCTTTTCTGGTCAGCACGTGTGGTCTAAGGTGGAGGACACAAGCTCTCTGGGACAGCACTATTGAAACTCTCCTCCTTGCAGTCTATGTTTTCACTTAAAATGAATCCACATAGCACACACCGGTCTTAGTGACAGCCCTTTGCTCTTAATTCTAGAACTGATTATATAGGATGATGAGTGGCTCTGCTCAGTCCTATGGCTAGCATCACGTCAAAACCCACTTGGAAATGACTTTTGGACTGGCAGACTCCTAGGTGACAAGTGCTAGAATTTATCTGGCTCATATCTGGGGTGAGTCAAAATGACTGACCAGCCCTTGAAGTGGGGATGAAAGGAGGAAAAAGTACACAAATGTGATCTATTTTTAACCTACTGTAGAGTTTCTAAATCTAAAAAGATTTCAATAAGATTACAGGCTGACCTCTCAGTCCATGCCAGGATTTCACTTGTAATAACTCTTGGAAGTAACAGAATGTTTTGCCAGCATCAAAGCATCTTTGAAATCATGAATTAATCTACCTAAGAGATCTGGCCTTTCAGAGTTCAATAAATGCATATTCCAGGAAAACTGTTCCACTCCAAAAGCCAGAGGACAGATGCCAGACAATCAGACTCTAAACCAAGCCGTAAACCTGCTGGAGCGGACCTGCAGGTCTCCTTCCTGCTGTTCCCAATTTTCAGCAACTTCTGTTGCAGTGCCTGGTTGGTGCATTTTCCTTCTATATTTTTTAATAAAGCAGTGCAGTCAGCTTCTTCAAAGTGTTTAGGGACTTCTGAGTTGGTATAAGTAGGCCCAGAATTGGTCAGTGTCTCCCTATCCTGAGTAGCCCTTCATGGTGGCTAGTTGGTATAGAAACTCCCAGAGTAGACACAGTTTCCAACCTTTTCCACTTGAGCATTCTCTTCCTTCATTCACAGGCGTGGCTTTACCCTGAAGAGAGACTAAAATAACAAGTCTGGACTTTCAGAGCCTGGTTAGTAAGGTCTGAGGATGGCCCAATTCCCATGTGCCCTCTCCCAGACAGGCTGCTGTGTCTGTGGTACAGTCAGACCCTGTAGAGGGGGGTCTGACAAAGGGTACAAATGAAGGCTCCACCCCACCTGCACTCGGAGAGTTGCAGTGTAGGTGACAGGAGGCCCTAACTCTGCTTTTTGTCCACAGATGTTCCACAAAAATAACTGTTTATTAGCCAAAGGGATCTTTGATCAAATATGTTCCAGAAACACTGGCTTAAACAACAAATTTGGTTGTTTCTTTGTAGTCCAACATCACAGTGCCTTTAATACATTAATGGACTTTACAATCCTTCCTGAGGAGAATATAGAATATATTATAGAACATAGTTGTGTTGTGTAAGGAGTAACCACCTGCATTTTCTGTCACTGTTTCATGAAACAAGAGTGTCACTTGTTGTTGTTGTTGATCATGTTTATTTTGGAGTTTATTTTTTAATGACCCTTTCAAACACTGCAGAGTGTTTTCTACATCGCTTCCTGCTCCACTGTCCTCAAGCAGGCTCCACCTAGGAAGATGTTTAGAACTGTCCTGGGCCAGCACTGGGCTATTGTGTTTCTCTCCATTTCAAACCCCCAGTGTTAGGGCTCATGACGAAATGCTCCGCCAGCTTAAGATTGATCTCAGAGGGAGGTTTCCAAGTAATGGATTTAAGAAAAAGGAATTTGTGTTCCCCCAGTTCCCCCCAGCAGCTGTCAGGATCCATTCCCCAGCCTTTAGCTGTGAGGCCCCAGCTCTCAGTTGCCAGGGCATCTCATCTGTCTATAGGGGGTGGGGAGAGTCCTGGTGGGCTGGCAACAAAGCCCTCTCCACTCCAGCCCCCAAAGGAGAGTCATTTTGTTTGTTTTCTAAATGGGCCTTCTCCGTGGCTGAACCCTCCTACCACTCCACATGGTACAGCAAAGAGTTACCTCTGGTGTATGTGTTAGGGTTTGAACAAAATTGGAATGAACTTAAAGAGGAACACCCAGTAGGGCTTTGAGACACTGACTGTAATTTTCCAAAGAGCTACTTCTGTGAGATAGAAGTGAAGCCATCAAGAGAAGATGTCTACCACTCTGCTTGAAGGCCCTCCAGAGGAGGATGCAAGATGCAGATGGAGTCTAACATGGCTATAACCGTTTACCAGCCTCCTTCGTGTTGTTTTCCATCACCTCTTACTCTCCCAAGTTATACAGAGAACCTGTGATCAGTGTGTACCATGGTTCAGCCAAGCTCTTACCATTCATTCTGATATTGATCCTCATGACAGCCTTAGAATGTAGGTCCTATCATTATCCCTGTTTACCAGTGAGGAAACTGAGGCCCAGAAAGGTTACGCAGTAGATGTGAACCTCCAGAAGGCTGAGATGGGGTCTTACTCTCCTCTGTTCTCAGGCATTTTCCTAAGAGCACACAGGAAATAGTGACACCAGAATTTGTCCCAAGGTCACTCGTATTCCAAAACCTAGCTCTTAACCACATTTCTTGGCTCCAGGAGGCTGCCAGGCATTTTCTTGGAAGTTAAGTATTCATGTACTCATATGTCATTCATTCTGGTTTCCTTCGTGGTTACTCATTAGCACAACTGCCCTCCCTTTTCAGCATCTATCCAGCTCATGAATAAAATCTATGCCTGGGCTGGTCATCGAGACAGCCAGTGTGAATGAGCTCCCTCGAGGGTCATCTGCTGCTACCTCATCTGCATCTCTGGGACTTGGCCCTGGGACTCATTGGCAGCACTCCCCAGGAGAATAAGTGTGTGCATTGGAGTTGAGTTGCCTCTACACATTGCATCTTCATTGTGTATTAGCTACCAACAGTTATTGCTCTTTTCTTTCTTGTCACTTGCTGCCCTGTTTTGTTCTTCTGGAATCTGCTCCCTCCTCCCCTTCTCACTCAAGACCCACCAGTGCTGAGCCAGAAAGACGCAAAAAGGCAAATTCTGCTGAATAAAGTTATCAGTGTGGAATCCTTCCCGTGCTCAGGGTGCTGCTGTAGAAATGGGAGAATTCTAGAGCCTGAAAGGCTCTAGCTGAGCTGCTCATCCATCCCTTCCCTATCTCTGAACTCAAAGATGGTTTCATGATGGTGCTGACACAGGGACACCCAGAAACAGGGTCTATAGACTGTACGGGGATGAGGGCAGATTGAGAGGCTGGTGAGAGATGCGCTGGGTAACAGAGCCAGCAGTTACTCCCGTGGGGTGTAGAGTGTGTGCCCTCACAGCAGGTGATGGAAGGAACACAGGAGAGCATTGTCCAGGCCCCACGTGGCTTCTTCAGGGCTCTATACATTTTGTTCATACTTTTGTAGCTGCAGTCATATACTGTTTTGTATCTATACATATTAGGTACCTTTCTCCAGACTGTTTTTCTTCAGACTAGTGTTTTCCTAACTGCACAACTTGATTCACTGCACATTAGTGGATCAAGATATCAGTTCAATGGTTTTGAACAGCATATTTTACTGAAAAAGAACAGAACAGACTAGATCAGAGTTCACTGCATCTAGCAAGATAAAATAACACAACCCAGTCGCACATAGATACACACGCATTATTTAAATGTTTTCTTATCAAAAGAATGTGAACGCTATCACTGTGAGAATCAGAAAGCTGATTCTTTTCTTTTCTGCATCCTCAGTGGTCGGTACCTGTATAGGCCTTACAAACAGCAGAGTCTCACCAAAAGTTGGGAGGGTGGTCAGGGTGGACCTGTTTTAGTCCTTATTCAGAAAGCAGCACAGCTCCAAGGCACTGGTTCCTCTTTCCAACTACTGCCCTTAAGCCAAAAGCTTCTATCTCAGTTTCACAGGGGTTGCAAGGTAGCAGCCCCAATCACTCAACTCCAGTGACCCTCAAAGGAGGCCCTGACCCTCCTTTCCAGCAGCTACTAAACAAGGCAAAGCTGGTCATTGCTTCATCTGTAGGTAACCCCAAAGAAGCAGCAGCCCATTCGCTCTTGCCTCGCCCACCATTCGTTGATGTGCACAAGGGGAAGGAAGCCTGCCTCCACCTCTGTCAAAGAAATCTGATGCTCTCTTCTCCTTTCCACACTGACAGTGTGCAAATCTGTTTCTTCCAACTTCTTTGTTTCTCTAGAGAACAGAATAGAACAGAAGTAAACGGGTGTATTTTGTAGACTGAGAAATTCAAGGAATCAAGAGGAGAAATGTCCTCACAGAGTGGTCACATAGGAGAATGAGTGACACCAAGGGAGATTTGAGGCTCTTTCCTATTTAACAGCTTTATTTTTTAAGTTACATTTTATAAATGATAGACAGCTGTCTCTTTCATGCATTCCTTCCTCATGCCATCTACTCTAAGCTATGCTAATAGCAATCACTTCATTCTACTGTGTTTGTTTACAACAGCCAACAGAGAGTAGTGGTAACACATCTGGAGTCACACTATTTGGGTTAGAACCCGAGCTCCACCATTTACTAGGTATGTGACCTTGGGCACATCTCTTAACCTCTTTGTGCCTAAGTTTCATCATCTATAGATCAGGGATGATAATAGCATCTACTTTTGGGGGCTATTATGATAATTAAATAAATGAATGCATATAAAGCACTCAGAACAATGTCTGGCCCGTAGTAAGTACTACATAAGTATTTGCTATTATTATTTTTATGGGTTTGTATCCCTGCCACACTGTGACATCTGAAAAGAGCCACCTTTAATACCCTTGTATGCCTGTACGTAGCCAGTGCTCAAGTATTTGGGGCACAAAGCCTAATTGTTGGGTGAACAAGTGAATTAAATAGAATAGAATAGATATGCTGCCCCCCCAAAAAGTCACAAACATTTCATATTTCACTACTGATTTGCTCTTGTCAGAAAGACATGGAGTGCTGAGTGCTCTTCTTTTGCTATGCCTGTGGGAAGCCGTGTTCATAAGGCAGTAATGTATTTTTCCAGACTCCTCTTTTTCTTTTCCACTGTGAGTAACTTGTTGAGCTCCTCAGTCTTGGGAGACATCGACTGTCCTTCTTGGGGCAAACTGTAAGGAGCCAGTGAAAATCTGGACACATGCCGTGACAAGCTGTTTCACAGGAATGGAGGCCAGCAGGGCTAGACCCTGGCCAACACAGAGGCAGAAGCCCCAAGCAACTCAGGCCCACAACTCTCCCAGGAGTACTTCAGCAGTGCCGTCTTCACGTACGGGAACTGAGCAAGAGCTCTGCTCTGCAAAGGTTTGCTGCTGCTCCTCGGGCAACCTCAGCACTGCAGGGAAATGGAGACCTCCATTCCAGGTACTTGGAAATGGCTCACAGAACTCAATCTTATTTATGTACATTTTTGCAGGCAGCGAAAGTTAAGAAAAATACCTGTGTGTCTAAGATTATCTGCATCAAACAAATCCTCTATGATAGGAAAGTCAGGGTAGCTGGATTTTGCCTTTACTAGAGTCAGAATTTCATCTGCGTCATATTACAACTGGTTGAACTTACTTTCTTTGCAGTGTTTAGCATGCATTCCTGTTGAAATCAGATTGTCCAGAGAAGTCTTTCATCTCCACCTGTTCTGGTTATCTATTGCTACATACCAAGTCATCCCAAATCATTGATTTAAAATAGTACTGATCATTCATTTTACTCATAATCTACACTCTGGGTAGAGCTCAGTAGGGAAGGATTCACCTGCAAGATGGCTCATTCATATAGTCAGAAAGTAGACGCCGAGCAGCAGCTGGCATCGAGGGGCCTCAGTTTCTCTCCATGTGGGCCTTTTCATGTGGCCAAGATTTCTCACAGCATGGCAGCTGCATTCCAAGGGCAGGCATCCTAGGAGAGAGCCAGGATTCAGATGTATTGTATTTTATGACCTAGCCTCAAATGCCACATAACATCACTTCCACAGCACTGTACTCTATTTGTCAAGGCTGTCACAAATGCCCACCCAGGTTCAAGAGGAGGGGACATGCACTTTTCCTCTTGAAAATGGATCAAGAGCATGAGGAACAGAAAATATTGTCATGGGCACTTTTGGAAAATACAATCTGTACTCCACCTAAATATGTTTGGCTGTCAAGCTGAGCAAGGCAGTGTTTGGCTAATCCTAGGAGTTTTCCCTCCAATCTAGAGGATGGAAAAATCACTCATGCTTCTAAGCTGGTTTCAAAATAAGTGAGCCCAGAAAGGCTTTGTCAATGAAAGGCCTGTTTGCTATTCTTCCATATGTTTTTTAACAATATAGTATTTTAAAAAATACTTCCTGATAAGAAACTGAGCTGGGGAACTTTCCTCTCCCAAGTTTGCTCCATCAAGTCCCATAAAGTAAGCCAGATGAGCTGGGGAGAAGAGCAAGTATACCCACTAGATCATTTCTCCAGCAGTTCTGAGAAGTGTTTGAAGTAACTTGATGTACTTCTCAACCAGACGATAGACTTGTGGTTAGCCACACAGAGCTGTCAGCTTCAAAGGGCAGTGTGTGAAGCCCACTAGGGGGTGGTTCTAGCAAACTAGGGAGAAATAGCTTTGGCAGAACCTGACATTCTTAAAACAGCCTTTTCTCCAAAATCCTTGTGCATGGAATACCTTGAGCTCCTTAGAGAAAAGCTTGATAATGATCTAATAAATAAATCAAAACATACCTTACCCCTCTCCCTACAACATTAATTTAATTTAAAACTAGCATGTCTAATAGGCAGCACTTTTAAAGTGCATTTCTGGAATTTGTGGTTTGGATCTCAATCTCCTGAAAATAATTTATTTTCTATCTACTCCATATGTTTGGACCTCAGCTTGTTTTGACTAAAGGACATGATTTGTCAAGATGTTTTCTCTGATAAAATTGACATGAGGAGGGTGGGTTTTATCTAATGAAACTGCATGAGGCCCTTTTACCTCCTTTTAAGTGTGCTTTTTAAGACGTTCTTTTTTTGTTCTTTCATTTCTTATGTGGCCATGCTTAATTGGAAAAAATTTTTTAAACTATGAAAAAGACTCACAGAAAGCCCAGTGCTTACCTCTGGGTCCCTTATCTGAGTGGATATGAGTCTCCCATTGCCTTAAGTGGCAACAAAAAGAGGACCACAAGGAGAACTAGAGCAACTGCTCAGGTAGGCTTTGAAAAGCTGCTGGTGTTGAGGGGTAAGAGTTAAAACTCTTTCCATTGGAAGTAAGATGCCAACAAATTGTAATAACTTAACTAAAGGAAAATTTATTATGAGGCCCATGGGATGTCCTGGGTTCGGAACCCAAGGGCAGCAATGCAAGAGACCTCAGGGAGGATTGAGACTAAGAACTGGAAAGCCATCAGGAAACCAGACAGTTCTATGAGACCCTTTCTGCCTGAATGAGAACAGTGCCCTGCATTTTGTAGATTCTCAATAAATAGTATGAATGAATGGTTGAGTGGAGTAGCTATGCCACAGCTTTGACTGAACCTCATCTATCTTCAAGCTTTTGAGGTTAAGCTTCAATTCCCAGGGAAGGGCCTCTAGTTGGCTCACCCTGGGTCAGGGGGCCATTCCAGAACCAATCAACTGTGACTGAAGGACAGGGTCACACTGACTGCATGGATGCTGGGACCCTTTTGTATGACCATGTGGACAGGGGAGATTGTTGGCTTGTGGATTGGACAGATACCTGCAGAAGAATCTATAACAGGGGTAAAGGATGCTTTGGAATGCAGAACAAAAATCATGGGCTGTCAGTAAAGATTGATGTCAGGTCCTTGGATGGTGAGAGCTGAACATGCCTTGGAGGTCATGTAATCCAGTTACACATTGTTCGTATAAGAAAAACAAGACAGGGTGCAGTAGTGCTTCTGTAATTCCAGCTGCTGGGGAGGGTGAGGCAGGAGGATCGCTTGAGCCCAGAAGTTTGAGAGAAGCTTGGGCAACATAGCAAGACCCTGAAAAAAGAAAGAGAAAAAAGAAAGACAGGAAGGAAGGGAGGGAGGGAGGGAGGGAAAGAAAGAGAGAGAGAGAGAGAGAAGAAAAGGAAAGAAAGAAAAAAGAAAGAGAAAAATAACAAGAAAGAAAAGAAAGAAAGAAAGAAAGAAAGAAAGAAAGAAAGAAAGAAAGAAGAAAAAAAGAAAGGAAGGAAAGGAAGGAAGGAAGAGAAAGAAAAGGAAGGAGGGGGGGGAGGGAGGGAGGAGGGGAGGGAGGGAGGGAGAGAAAAGCAAAAGAACCAAAGACTCAGAGGGCTGAACTATTGGATTAGGTCCATTGGACTTAAGGACATTTCTGACAAGAGGAAAATATCTCAGTGTTCACATTTGTTGATTAAATGAATACAAATCCTGGAATTCCTCTTTGCAACACTATTTGAAACCATTGTTTATATTTTCTTTTTCTCAATCATACTCCATGCTATGAAATAGGGTTCAATATTTGCATAACATTAGCTAAACATGATCCATAAGTTCAAGTGAGATAGATTTTGGTATGAACTGTAAAGCAAAAACACAAACTTGATTTTGGCAGTCTGTATATTGCATCTGACAGTGTGCAATGATTGAGAGGCTCTTTTGTATGCTAGTCATTGTTGCGGTTAAGGAAGATATAGAGACAAACCAGGTTCCCTACCTGCCAAAGCACAGCTATATCACGTAGCTTAAAGTTTGTTAAGGAGATGGATAAGAAAATTGAGGATTGCGGAGAGAAGAGATAAGTGGTATGGTGGACGGAATGTGAGGGCACAGAAGAATAGCTCAGTCAGGGAGTCAGAGAAAGCTTCCCAGGGGAGCTGGATTTTGCCAGACCAGCAGGAGTTAGGAACTCCGAAGTAATGAAATGCCATCATACATTGAGGTGAGTACAGGCAGTTCTAAATGACTGGAGCTAAGGGTGACATGCAGGGAGTAGAAGAATATGAAGACAGAGATAAGCAGAAACTAGATCCCAGAGGGCTGGAGTTTTGACATTTGACCAGAAACACTGAAGTGCCATTGGATGTTTGCTAGGAATATATAACCAGTTTACATTTGATGAAGTTCACCCTGGCAGCAGTGCATGAGACAGAAACAAGAGCAGACTGACTGGGGAGGGAAGGTGAGAGGATGAAAGTCTAAAGTCAAGTAGGGCCAAGGGACGAGGGCACGGGGATGAAGCCTGGTGGATTCCACAGGACGGGGATTGACGGGATGCAGCCGTAAATGAGTGGAGGCTGTCTAGGGCCATTCATTTAGTTTGGAGTGACTGGATGGACAGTGTTAACATTGTTTCCATCGGGAAGCAGAACTGGAAAAGAAGATAACTTGCACTTTAGACTTGTTGAATGTAGGAGCCTGAGAGACAGCCTTATAGCTCAGCAGAGCCTGGGCCAGTGTCAGCAATCTGGGGACACTGGCATGTGTGAGGCATTGAACTATGGACAGGGACAGGGCCACCCAGGGAGGATGTCTGGGAGAAGATCAGGGGCCAGAGGCCAGAGCAGTCAGGAACACAGCTTGTCATGGAGCAAGTCGAGCAAGAGGAGCCCTCCAAGGAGGGAGAGAAGCTAAGAGGGCTTAGAAAGTAGAGGGCAGGGGGGAAGTTTCAGGAAAAAGGAAGCCATCAACTGCAGCAAATGAGGCAGAGAGGTCAAGCTGAACAGCCGACGGGCTCTAGCAGCATGGAAACCTTTTGCAATGGGATTAACTGTAAGTAAAAGTAAGTCCCACAGGCTCTGGTGACTGGCTGATGTTTCTAAAGAACCAAAAGTACAGAGTTTTAAGAGATGAATGCTGATAAAAATGCTTTTCGTTTGAAGACTTTGTTGAGAAAAGGCAGTATGTGGAATGAAAGGTACAACGGTTACAGCTCTGCAGCGAGAGGGACTTTGATTTCAACCTCAACCCTACAGCTTACTAGTCCCGCCGCTTTGGACAAGTTATTCCACCTCGTTAAGCCTCTGTGTCTCTGTGTGAAATGGGGCTTCTGCCTACTTCATAGATTCCAAGGCTTGCATAAAGTGATGCTTGTCGCTTACCCTCTCCCACCTGATTTTCCTCCATAGCGCTCACCACCTTCCTTACTTACCCACTGACTTACTGATTTTATTGACTGTCGCTCTCCCTCTGCTAAAATATCAGCTCTGTGACAGCAGGGGTTCTTTTCTCTTTGGTTCACTGATGAATCCCTGCTGCTTAGAATGGTGTCTGGCCCCACAGTAGTCAGTCAATAAATATTTGTTGAATGGATGAATAAGTGAATAAAACATGAAACGTGAAGTGTTCAGAGGGAGTGGCAGTGCTGTTACTAATTCCTGGGGGGAGAAAAGCCATTACCAAGGGCCAACTTCAGTGTCAGCCTGGGTGCTTCCGAGGCTTAGTACCCCCTTAAGGCCAAAGCTCCTATTGAACTGTCTTCCTTCTACAAGGCCCTGTCCATTGTTGTAGAATGACCTGCCCCTTGCCTGTTGTAGGGACAAATGAATCACAAATAAAGAGAAACTGAGTGGAGGAGTACCATGTGGAGGAGGAATCAGGATCCCAAACTCTCAGAGGGCACCTGGAAACTGGAGGCAGCAGCAGAAACCCTTCTTTTGGCAACCCCAGTGATAGAAGACAATCACAACACATCAAAGAGCTCTCTCAGGGGTGCACTCCTCCAAAGGGGTCTCAGCAGCCTCTGCTGCAAAGGCTGAGATGGAATAGTGTAAGGAAACTGTCTTCTCTCACCAGAACTGATGTCTTAAAATCACAGCCAGCAAAGATTTAGAAAATGAAAGAAAGAACAGTGACTCGGACTTACTTTATTGATCTGTGCATTTGCAATTGCAGTAGTTATGCTTCAGTCTTTCATCTTCAAAGTGCCTTATACCATGAACTAACATGCAAACAGGGCTTAGTCATGTATGGCCTGTTATAAGGAATGTGTTATTCTGATGGAAAAGACTGAAAAGACTCCACTTCCCAACAGTCTGCTGACTTGAACAGCTCCACAAGAAAAGTCTGGTATCAAAACATGAATCTAAACAGAAACCAAAATAGCAAACACCAACATGCATTAATTGGACCCATTTATTTGTACCAAAACCAACATTCCCCCCACTCCTTAGCCCCAGGGTATTGTTCTTTGTTGTCGCAGTTTGTTTCTTTTTTTTCCCTTTTCATCTGTCAATACATCCTTCCAGGATTCTCCCAATGTACTTTGGATTCCAGACTCTCTTATAGAAAGCATATGTCTTTGGGAACATATTGTACCACGTTCAAGTTCTGGAGCCAATTTATTTCTGTCCCAGGATTAAGTGAGAAACAACAATTGTTTGTAGGGCTGGAAGGAAGATCCGGGTTACTTACTCAGGCAGAAGAACTATGTATAAAGTAAAGTGAGAGTTTCTAAGAAAAGAAGGGCCTTTCCTGTTAACCTGCGGATATGATTCATTCCTTCATGTAACTATTTCATTCATGCAACATTTACTGAAAGCTTACCAGGTGCTAAGTACTAAGCACAAACAGGCCAAAACCCACTGGTGTGGTCCACACCATGTCTATAGCCTGCAGGCCTTTCTTACTGATACGGAAAATCCCCAAGGTGTATAGTTGAGTAAGTATAAGGTAGACTGTTAAGGTCAAGATGATGATTACCTGTGGGGAGGTAGTGACAGGAGTAGGTCATGAGGAGGTCTCTTCAGGGTGCTGGTTTTCTGTTTCTTGGTCTGGGTGCTGGTTACACTGGTTTGTTTACTTTCAAAATTAATGGAGCAGCACACTGGTGATATGCATACACTCAGTAAATTATCATATGTTTAACAGATGTTCCAAAGAACAAATACTAGGTGTTCAGGTATGGCACAAGCCGCCGTGAATGGCTCCAGCAAATAGTGTGTGTGGAGGAGATGAAAATAGAGTCATAAACCAGAGCCACATTGTAAAAGCCTTATATGCTAAACTACAGAGTTCGAACTCTATCCTAAAAGTTATGAGATTCTATGCAGAGAATCTGAGCATGTGATGGAGCCGAGAGGTGTTTAAGAGTGTGGCCTCTGGCATTTTGCTCCTGGATCCATTACTGTGCCTGAACCTCAATCTCTGCATTTGCAAAATACACTAATAATTGTGTTTGCTTTCTAAGGATATTTTGAAAATTAAATGAGATAATACCAAAAAAAGTGCAATGTTTGCTATATTCAATAATAAATATTTGTATTTTAGAAAACATACTTGGCAAAAATGAGGAGAATGGATGGGGTATGGCCAAACTGCGTAGGGGAGACAAACTAGAAGACTGTAGCAGTGATCTAATGTGGAAGTAATCAAGGAGATGTTGATAACTTTAAGTAGGTAGAATGAATAGAACTTCATCTGGGAGATGAAAGAGACAGCAAAATCTAAGATGCCTCTCATGTACCTGGCTCAGGTGACTGTGAAGGTGGTGATGCTGTTAAAAATTCAAGAGAAGGAAAGGTTTTGGGGAAAGATCATGGATCACATTTGAAACCTGTTGAGTTCAGAAATCTCGGGAGGTATCGTCCGCAGGAGCTGGGTGGTGCTGTCCACGGGAGCTCAACAGAGATGACTGAGCAAAAGGCATAGGTTTGAGATGTACATAAAAAATGGCACATGAGAAGATGAGGTCCTTCAGGGATGTTGCATTGAGTGCAAAGGGCAAGGAGCCAAGGATGGAGCCATAAGTAACAACATTTAAATGAGCATACCGAGAAAGGGAACCTATTAAGAAATCTGAGAAGAAATAATTAGAAGGGTAGAAGGAACCACCTAGAGAAAGTGCTATCATGGTTCTTAAGAAGGGTGTCATCAGCTGTGACAAATGCCACAGAAATGTCAGGTTAGATGACAACAAAGGAGTGTCCACTGACTCCTACAATATGATAGCCACTGGTGACTCCTGTGAGAGCAATTCCAGGGTACAGTAGGACAAAAGCAGGGTTGCTATGGTGTCTGA